GTTGGTAACTTTAGCTTCATCTTTGATACTATAATTTGAGCTTTTTCTTTATTATCATATATTATATCTTGCATATTGCTTCTTTTTAGTTGACTAGGAATCTTTTTTCTATTGTTGCACTCTTTTTCTTAGAAAGATTTTTCTGCACCTCTTTATACTTGTCTACTAAGACTTTTATAATATATACTTGAACTGGATTGCTTGCACCTAAAAACTTTGCTATATCTATATCTATTTGTGCAATACAATCTTTTAATTTGTCAAATATGTATACTTTTTTGCTAATGTTTTTTGGTTTAAGTTATAAAGCTCTTTAATTTTTGCTATTGGTATTTTAATGCTAGTTGTTTGTTTAACTTTCTATATTATTCTATTTTTAGAAGCTTCTATTTATTTAACTAATTAATAACATGCTTGTTCTTATTATTAATGTCTTATTTAGTCAGTCATGTTTTTGTTTATTGTCTAAATAGACATATACTATTTTGTTTGCTTATTTGTTTACTATATTTATGTAATTGTTTACTTTGTAATTTGTTTATATATTGATCAATTAGCATTACAGATTTACAGCTAAGTTTTAAATTTTTTAAAAATTTTTTAAAAATTTTCTAAAAATTTTCAAATAAGATTTTGTATTTTGATTAAGCAGCTTCTTTCAGAAGTTGTTTTATTAAACTATAACTATTTTTGCATTTTCTTTCTTTTTTCTTAATGATACAAGGCTTGTTTATTTAATTAACTTTTAAGCAAACTAAAGTGTATTAATTTTTGACTTTATAAAATTAAGGATCAGTAAAAAGAGTTGATTTCTATTAAAAATATAGTTTTAGTATTTTCTATTTATAATATTATATATTTAAATTTGTATAATTATATAATATTAATAAAAAACAATAAATTTTTATATATTTGTTTAATAGGCTTCAAAGTTATACTAGTTTCTAGTCTCCTGTTTCAATTTTATTTTTTAAAAATCTTATAAGTTTTTAAAAAGAGTATTGCTTAAATAGAACTTTTATATATATATATATTATATGCTATAAATTGTTTAATAAAAGAAAATTTCTAAATATTATTATAATTAAAAAATACTATAAATTTTTAACCTTTATATTTATTGAATTTATATAGTTTTTTTTCTAAAAGTTTGTTATATTAATTAAAACCAAAATATATAAAATTTTTATTTTTTTATTATATTATTATTAATTTATTAAGTTGTTTATTTTTAATTAATTTAGAACCATTATTAGAACCAAATATGACTCTTAATAAGTTGTTAATATTTGATAACTGTTTGCCAAACTTATGTTTTATTACAAAGACATAATCTGTAAAATTATTATATATTATGATATTCTTTTTGTAAAATTAAACATGTTATTTATATATATTAAAGTATTATAATCAGTTATTAAAATAATTTAAAACTATATAAATATTAATAAAATTTTTTTATAGTTTAAATAATAACTATACATCTTATTCTATAATTGTATAGTTTTTTTAACAGTCTTAGTTGACTAACTAGCATATTCAATAATATATTTATAAATATTATTATTAAGCTATACTAATATTATACTAAAAACTATTAGTATTTAATAAAAACTCTTTATTATTCATAGAATAACTAGTATTAAACTTATAGTTTACCTAGTTTTTAGTTTATTAAATAGTTTTTTTAATTTTTTTCTTTTGTTTTAGGTCCATTATTCAATATGGGAATTGTTTCTTCGGATGTCAATTTCGACATCTTTATAATGGATTTCCTTTTTGTGTCATCTTGTTGTTGGTCACAAGTTTTCAGGTAGGTTTCATTAAACTTTTCTGATTGTCCTGCTTCCTTCATTAATGTTCTAAATTTATTTACCTTTCTATTCCAGTTATCACAGGCTTCATCCAAGTTTTCTAACATGAAACGTTCAGCTTTTTCAACTCCAATTCCTGTTCTATGGCTGTCTCCATCACATATTGTAACATCATCGTCATCACCAACACCATCTTCATCATTACGATCATCATTGTTATCATCATCATCTGCTCTATAATCAGGCCTGTCTGTCCTTTTCACAATCCTAGAAACCCTTCTAAATGCTTCTGTTTCGGCAGATTTTTGATAATAAGGGTGTGCCTCATGTTCTTCTTTTTCAACACCAATCCATTTGGCCTTTTCAACTTCAATTCCATCTTCATAGCAATAACCATCATTAAATGTTCCATTAGAATAACCCATATCTGCAGGTTTTTGATAATAAATGAATGCTTTAGGTTTATTTTTCTTGACTTCAATCCCATTTCGATATCATCCTTCAGGGTTATCGTGTTCATCTTCAGCAAATTTTGGTTGCCATTCAAGCTGGAGTGCTTCCACATAACCATCGATCAGGTTTTCCTGGAGAACTTCGGCATTAAGTTACTAACTTCTACTTCTGGCACAAGATAGAGATCGATTATCTCCTCAATCAGGTTCTTGATCAAGGGTTGTGTTGAGGGAACTTTCCAACTTGGGACTATTGTGGTGGATGTAGCTGATCCTCTTTTACAGGACTTTACTGGGCAAGTATTAATGATTCGTTTTAGACTATTAGAGACAACAGGGTTTTCTTGACAGTATATATGATAGAGATAATTATAGAAAACAGGAGTTGCAGATACTTTAATATATAAGGGTATGTATATGACTGGTTCTTCTCAGGTCTTTAAAGAACGGTCTTTTCGAGGTATAGGGCTGGAACGATTGTAAGCAACAGTTTCATACAGATGTGGGTATACAATTTCCTCTTCTTTATCATTGTCATTTAGGTTGTTATTCAAGCTAACATCCTCTAATATTTTCAACAAATATTTCAGGGCTTGGGAGATTTGCTTATCGTTAAGGTGGTGATCTTCAAAAACTTCATCGATGATTCTTTGAACTTCATCGGCTTGTCTTTGGGTAAGTGTGGTGAAAAGACCAGCACATGTTTCTTGCAAGAGGGTCATGTGTGGGCACTTACTAATGGCGTGGCCTCTTACTTCACAATAGGAGCACCATATGTTTCGTCAAGTGCTTCTTCTAGTCAGTTGGGGGTTTCATGGGGCTTGTGACATTATCCTCTTCTTTGTTTGAGTTTTAACTTGTTTTCGAGGTTGCTTGAACATTGGCAGTAAGTAAATTTTATACATTCTTCTTGTCCTCTTAGGTAAGTATTCTAAAGTTCTGCTGCTGTTCTTATTCTTATTTCTAATACTAATTCTATCTTTCTATCTTTCTTTCCTCTACTTTATTCTATCTTCGCATTTCTTATATCTATATTATTCGTATCTCACAGTTACCACCAAATGAAATCAGGCGTCACGGTGAGTCAGTCGCTCCACAATTCAAAACTTTGTATAACCTATAGTTGGCTTAGTCAGAAAGAAGCGTTTAGATTTGATCAGTGGTTTGGGTCCGTAGGTAAGTATTTCTTCGTTACTTGTCTTGTGTTTTCCTTTTCTTGAACTTACTAACTCTATTCTTCAATTACCTCACTACATAGGGTAATTGGATGACATGTATAACCAAACTATCCTTAGTCCTTCGGGATAGTGGAATAATACTACCATGGCTGATCCTGGTACTTTAGGATACAACAGCCAGATGTAGGGGGAGTAACAATACTTTTCAGGTTAGAATAGCAAACTTCAAGAAGCAGGTTTTATGGTCTGGGAATTTAGCGATTAGTTAATGTAGCAAGGGAAATGTTTATGTATTTATTATGATGTAAGGGGCCAGTTATTATTCTAAATAAAACCAAGGACTTCCTTTCTTCTCTAAGGCCTTTACGGCCTTTATTTATCTTAAAATTCTTTATTTATATTTGCTATTCTATGTCTGCTACAACTACTACTTCTAATACGTCCGCTAATTCTACTACTTCGTTTCCAACTCATACTTACCCGACATGGCATTCGTAGCCTACATAGCTAAAGTAGCCTACATAGCCGATATAGACTAAGTGGGCTGGGTCACCCTAATTTGAAGTAGCCATGTCACGTAGTTTAGCTGAATAACAATATATATTTTAAATTTTTATACAAACACAGTCATATATTATATTTGAAGTCTTTATAATTAGTAAAATATATCAAACCCAAATATTGCATATAACTATTTTAACATTAAATTATTTATTTAAATATCTATATAAAAAAATTATTTAATCTAAAATAATTTGTTTATAAATAAAAATTTAATATAATGTTATACTTGATTTTTAATCTTTACATATGTACTAGAAAATTACCTTTTATAATAAGTGTAAAACTTTAATAAAAGTTCATTGATATGACTTAAATCATGTGCTGATATAATTTTTTTTTGGCATAGTCATACAGCCTTTACAAAAAGGCTCCATCTATTATAATATTCAAATGATAATTATCTTTTAAGTAAAAGAAATAAATACATCATAATCTATACTACCTATTCTTCAGCTTTATAGCTACAGTAATGTAGTAGTATATTACATAAAAGTCTTTCAAAATTTGATAGTAAATCTTTGTGCAATAAATGCATCTTATTTTCAATATCTGACCAAACTGCTTTTGCTGTTACATATGGCTTATTGTTCTGTAATGCATCTGAAAAGAATGTTCCAGTCCAATGTTCAAATATATAGTTTATGATATTTTTATAGAATAAATGCATTATATTCACAGTAAATGAATTAGAAAAATTAATGATTGTTGAATCAAAAAGAATACTTTGATTGTTAATACCTGCATTAAAAAAATAAAATAAAATAAAAATAAAAAAATAATATATATATATATATATATTTAGATATATATATATTTAGTATCTGTTACTATAATAATAAAATTTATAAAACTAAAAATATACTGCTATTAATAGAAATTAAGATAGAATCTACTTTGATTTTGATTTCTATCTAATAAAATTTAAAGTAGATTCTACATTGATTCCTATTAATAGCAACTCAAATATTACCGAAATTAGTAATAAATTCATTTCATTCTTTTCCAAGCTTGGCCTTTTGAATTATTTTAAGTCTCCTTCTCCATTCTTCATATGTTCGATTTGGTAAATTAGATGCTTGATATCTTGCAGAATTCAAGTTCTTAGATGGAGTTGTAGGATAGTAGATATGATTTATATAGACATCTCTTAAATTACAATAACGACAATCTTGATAACTATTATGTCTGATAAGGCCCATTAATTTCGTTAACTCTGGTGTATCACCCAACTAACTAATTATTATAGTACAAAGTGTAAAATATTTTTTTTTAAATGCATTATAGCAATTTATGCCTACTAATAATTAAAAATTAGTAATTAAAGTTAGTAAAATTATTTAATTAACAATTAGTAAAATTAACTTAATAAATTAATTAAAATTAGTGAAATATTAACTTAATTATTGTAATAATAATTTAATATATTTACCTTCTAATTTTTCTAATTCTCTTACTATAGGAAAAAGAAATGAATTAAGAAATGAACTCTTTTTCATAGATCACTTTACCAAAATTGGACAAAAGAAGAAAAATTTTATATCGAACATAGAGCAATAACTACTAAGTAAAT